CTGTGACAAGTTTGTTGATATCCTTGAAATTGAGATGGGAGAGCCTTCAGTGCCATAGCCAGCTTTCGTCAGAATGTGCTTTGGATAATAGACATATAGTTGGGTTTCCTTTGATAGGTTTGAGATTGAGAGGAAACATTTCGCCTTTGCGCTCCGATTTGAGAATTACTCTTTTTTTTTCTTCTCTATTATTTCCGAACCCTCGTCATCAAACGAAACTTTAAGACCGGTACCTCCAACAAGCTGAGATACACTGATGAGATTATGTTGTAGTCCATCAACGTATGCAACTTTTGTAATCGTGAAGTCTCCATTTGTTATCATCCCATAACCTTTAATCGTGCCATATGAGTTGCTCCCGAACTTGATATTCCCGCCGTTTGGAAGTGATCGAAATTCCCTCAGCTCTTCCTTCCTTCCTGTCATGTGACATGAGCAGCCACTATCAATATACCATTCTTCGTCGAACTGCTCGTCACTGATAACCTGCAAAAATCAAGCAGATTTAGGAACTCAAAGTTTCTTGGGTCCACGTGAGCCTTTCACAGGAACAGGAATAATAAGAAAAATGTCAACGAGATATGTTCTTTTTATTAAAGTTGTTTCATCTTTCTTCTTAATAGTGTAAACTTTAATTTTATTGGGATTTGTTACAGTCGGTTTGGATTCAGGTTCAGGTGTTTGGGCCTTGGAATGCTTTTGATCACTCTTGACTGAGGAAACCTTCGATTTTCCTTTCAAATCTTTTGAAGATTTTGGATTTTGAGTTTGAACAGAATTGGATTTAGAATGGGGTTGAGAAGAATTAGAATGAGAGAATTTAGACTGAGAAGTTTTCTTGACTTGAGGTTCTAGGTGACCCTTTTGTTTGTGGTCATTAGTGAGACCGAACCTTGAACCTTGGTAACTTTTGCTCTCGGAACCGAACTTATGCTTTCGGTAGCTGGTGTTCTCTGAACCGAGCCTTTCCTTTCGGTTGTTAATACTTTCTTGCGGTCTAACTGCTCTTTTCTCTGACTTCCTGTCATGATCAGAAAAATGGGCATTTTGAGATCGCCAGAACTGAGATTCTTCTTGTATCTCAGATTCCTCTGCTACTTTTGATTTTTCACCTGTCTGGGTTGCCTGTGAATATTTGCCTTCTGTTTTGGCTTTTGAACAATAGGTTCGCTCTTTATAGATGAGGTTTCGTTTGTGGAGGTGACTTCTTCTACAGGAATTTCTTTAGTGCCACTTGTACTTGGTACGTCATAGTTGTTAGGCTTGTTTAGCGGCTCTGGTACATACCTTCCTTTTGTTTTCCAGGACGTTCGCTCTGATAAACCAGCTGTTTCATCTGCATTATCTATAGGAGCAGACCAGAAGAACTCATCGTAGCCATCTGCGTTATCTTCGTTTACAATGGCAGTGAGTTCGGCTGTTTGATGTTCGGATACTCCTTTGACTTTATATACCTGATTTGGTGTTGTTCTCACCTTTTGGTACACAACAGCCTTTTCCTTAAGAATCGGGGACTTATTTTCTGACAAACGAGCGAACTCCACAGAATTTCTAGAAATAAGATTTTTGTCGTTTTCGTGTTCGCTTTTGTCAAACTCAGAACAGTCGACTTCATCTTCTACAGAAATTACACTCATATCATCATCCTCATTAAGTTCAGATGTGTTTTTAACATCAATTTTATTTTCTGAACTTAAATTGGCATTCAATGAGTCAAATTTTTGTATGGTTTCGGTCCTTAGTTTCAGCTTATCGTTTTCATCCAAAAGATTTTTCAGCATGTCCTTATGGTCCTTGGACTTTATCAAAGATTCTATTTTGTCCAGACCATACATGTAAGTGGGATTCACATCATCAGATGATACAACACTTTCGTAATTATATGCTTCAGCATCGATTTCATCCTCCTTAAACTCAAGGAAGGGTAAAATCATGCGATGAATTTTCTGCCCTATTTCACAGTTCAGATGAAGTTGAGTGATATTAGCATAAAGACGTTTAGCAATTAAACAAAAAACATTTCTCTGTTTCAAAAGTTTTAAATTATCTCTTTGCAAATAAATGTTTTCATCTTTGGATTTAATCAGCTCCGACTCCTTCAGCTCTATCCACATCCTCCGTTCTTCACTCTTGGAAGACACCCTGCTTATTTGGTCAGTTAGGTTAGAATTGGTGACCCGTGTTTGAGTTAAACTACTATCTAGATTTGAGATTCTTGAACTTAAGCTTTTTAATTCTTTTTCATACGAATTTTGTGGGACTTTAAATGAAACAAAAACGGATTGTACCTTCTTGATCAATTCATCTAGCTCATTGATCTGCACGCTGAGAGGTTTTGCTGTGAAGCATAGGTCCTCTCACTCCTTGGAGTCTTCATTCCCACCATCCGTATTGTATCCCCTCATTTGAGATACATTTGTCACCATCAAACACTTCCCACCGCTTTCTTCACCTCTTGCAATGTATGCCTCTCCATGAGATGGTTTCCTGACCTCATCATCCTCTGAGACGGATGACCAGACCTGCACGCCACCAAACTCATCATCCGCTGCCTAACCCTGCACAATTAAAGCATTCATTGAAGGGTTAGCAGTAGCTTTCTTTCTCTTGATCTCTTCCAGCTTTTTCATCAACAAGGCCTCTTCATCTTTTTCCTCATCCTTCTCTGCCATTTTCTTTAGAACGCAGTCTTTGGCATAGTGGTTCTTTCCTCCACAGTAGTAGTAATTCACACCTGAATCTCCTTCAACTTTCACCTCTTTCTTTGGTTCCTTTGTCTTCGGTTCCTCCCTAACCTTTTCAGAACTATAGCTTCCCTGCCAGTTTCGGTTCTTATTGGTAGGGAATCTCTTCTTGATAAACCTCTTCGGATTAGACACCATCATTGCATAATCTTCAGAAGTAAGATCATAGTCTTCTAGGTTCAGATCTTCATCTTCTACCACATTTTTACTTTTAGATAGGAGGGCCAAGGATCCCAAACTTGAGACCACATTCTTCTCTTGCATGACAATCTTTTCTTGGGATTTCAAAATTCCCACCAGCTTTGCCAACGAATAAGACTTGAACTGCTCGTGAGCTTTGACTGTAGACACAACAACTCTCCATTCAGATCTTAGGCCATTCAAAAAGGTGACTTTCTGTTCAATCAGCTTCCTTTCTATATCATGTTTGATCATCTTGCTAAGAAGATGATTGAAGTGATTGAACGTCTGAGTAACAGTTTCATCAGAATTCTGCTTAAATTCACCAAACTCAGACAAAACCAAGGTCTGAATAGAATGCTCCAAATCTTCATCTGTGGAATATAGCTCTCGCAGCCTATCCCAGATTTCTTTAGCGGTACTGCAGGAACTCACCAACCTAAATGTATCAGATTGAAGAGCGAATCGGATCAGTCTCAACGCTTTAATGTTGCACTGAAACTTTTTCTTTTTCGTCTTGAGCAACATCTTTTAACAGATCATTATACTCTTTCTGAGTTTTAATGATTCTAGATGTTCCTGAGTGAGCGAATGGTCCTGACACAATAGCTTCCCATATAAGATACCCATTGTCTTCAAATCCGATGACGTAGTCTTCAAAGTGATGCGCCCAAACTTCGTAATCTTGAGCGTAAAGAATAGGAATCTTTGTTGTTGATCCAATACTGTTTGAGATGTTGATAGGATTAGATTGAGAATCGTCCATGCTTGATCGTTTAACCTGTTTGAAAGATCAGACTTGTAATATATAATATTAGGGCAAAACGAATAAGTAATGAGATACGTCAATTATGGAGTGACGGCTCAATAAATATCAGTTAATGCGGAATAAACCCTAATAACATCTTTCATAGAAGAGATGTGTATGAATTACACAGCCTCCTGCTCTGATACCAATTGTTGAGTTATAAGAACTCTTTTTGATCGATTAGATCTTTGTAACAGGTAAATAATGAACGTAAAAACAATGAGATAAAACACAAGTATGGATCTGAATGAGTCGAATGATTAGATTACTCAATCCTCAGTAGAGCTCGATTAAGAACTTCCGTTGTAGAGGATTCTAGGGTTACAAAAGATATCTTAAAAACGAGACGTGAAATCTACTCCAAAAACTATCTAAAAAGATGCATGCAAGCATCTATTAATACTCAAACCCTAACAAACAATCAAATATGGACAGGCCCATACCGGATAAAAAATAGGGCTAAGAGACGAGCCCAAGACGCAACACCATATACCCAACAGGTAAGGTATTCATTTGTTAATAACAATGTATTCATTTGTTAATAACAATGTGTTCATTTGTAAATAGCAATGTAATCATGTGTGAATAAGTGTACTTATTTATGATTAAATGTATTCTTTTATGAAGAAATGATAATTTTTACACCCCTTTTATTTTCAGTTGATTAAGAGAAAGGAAGTGAATTACTTGTAAATTGATATGTATTCATTTGTGATTGCAGTAGTATTAGTTTTTTTGAAAAAAAAAATCGTTTATGAATACAAATGTATTTATTTGGGGTTGGATTTTTATTAATTTTTTTGAAAAAAAAAACGTGTAATATGAGACAAATAAATTTAAGAATAAGAAATTAAATTTTTTAGTTTTAATTTTTTTTTTGATAATAATGTTTTTTATATTTCATTAATAAGAAAAATAAAAAATCAAATATCTCCTTTTTTGGTAACTGATCCTAAATTTAAGGGAATTTGATTTATTTGATTTTATTTTAATTTAATTAAAATATGCAATTACTTATATGCCCTTATATATTGATTGGTCCAGAACTGTTCTCGCGTTCTCAACCTTTTAGGCGTTCTCATTTGATCATTTCCATATATATATATATATATATATATATATATATATATATATATATATATATATATATATATAATATATATATATATATATATATATATATATATATATATATATTAAAAAGCATAGAAGTATTAAATTTTATTAAAAAAAAACGTAATCAACAAAATTTCCAACAAAAACAAAAAATGCTCTTTAGGGAGACGGAGGGTCAAGGGAAAGATGCCGGAACCTGGAAGGAGGTTCGCCGGAGGAAACCACTTGAGGAAAAACATATCACCTCCTTCCATGTATCGAATATACAATACGACACCACTACAACCATGTTAAGCGAGGCATTTCGGAAATTTGGGAAAATAGTCGACATCTATATTCTTGGGAGAAAAGACAAAGCGGGTTCATATTTCGCGTTCGTGAAATATGAAGGGATCAAAGATGTACAGGTGATGCTAAACTCACTGAACCAAATAAGATGTGGGCACTGTATCATGAAGGTAAACATTGCCAAGTATGAGAAGAAGCCGAATCATAAGATTCATGGGCAAGCATTTCGTCAAGTTCAGCCACCACAGATCAAAAAGGATGTTGGTGGATGGAAAAAGACAAGTGAGGGCAAATCCTTTGTAGATGTTATTACCGGTAGAACGAATACGTCTTAGATTCCATCGGTAAAGCTCAAACGTGTTCCAGTAATGGAAAGTGACTGGCTACTCTTGGGCGAGGTCTCGAACTTTCAACACCTCAGTAACCTCCCTAAGCTTCTCAATGTTGATGGGGAAGTACCATGTCATGTGTTCTATGCTGGTGGTCTGAAAGTGTTATTGAGATTTTTTGCATAGGATGCGGCTACTAGATATTTAAAGAATGAACATGCATGGAATAGATGGTTTAGATGGCTCAAATCTGATATTATAGATGATTTGTGTAACAGCCCGGAATTTCAGGTATTGTTATAATTATGTTTTTGGGGTGTTTTAGAGGGGACTCGGCGAGTTGGAGCCTAAACTCGCCGAGTAGGATCGCAGACCTGGTCGCGGGATCGCGACTGGACTCGACGAGTCCAGATATGGACTCGGCGAGTCTGCGCTGTTTAGCGAAAACCCTAGCCGTTCAGATTTGGGACGTATTTAAGGGACTTATTGGCCGTCATTGTTCACTTTAGCCTTCTGAGAGAAACCCTAATTCGATTGTATGCATCTAGAGCAAGGTTGAAGACCATTGTTGATTTTGGAAGAGTTGTTGTGCAAGGAAGAGAAGGCTTGGTGAAGGGAACAACAAGAGAAGTCACGTTCTAAGGATTGGGGACACAGAGAGCACATTATTCAGGTAATATTTCGAATTACATTCTTTTATGTTGATGTGTATATGGATTTAGGGTTTATGGAACCCTTTTGTGGATAGATTGAATGTTACCCTTGTTCCCCAAGCGATTGCAACCCTGTATTAGGACCTTTAGAGGTCCAGAATGTCCCATGCCTGAGCATTTCGGGAATCAATAGAGGTTTTGGATTGGAATCCTTATGCCTTAGGTCAAAATGTAAATTATAAGTCTTGGGGTGTAGCATGAGCACCTAAATGAAGACCTTACGTGATGGACCAGCCTAGGAGGACCAGACCTATGAATGGTCGGAACAATTCTGACCTTAGGAAGCAGTTTGATCGACTGCATGGCATGGACTCGCCGAGTCCGAGGAACAGACTCGGCGAGTAGCTTGGAGAATAACTGGGACTCGTCGAGCTGTTCTTCAGACTCGGCGAGTGGAGTTGGGGTGGCCCCGCGATTTTTCCAGGAGTAACTCGTCGGGTCATGGAGGATACTCGACGAGTAGAAAGGAATCTTAGAGGATTGGAGGACGTCTAGACTCGCCGAGTCGCCATAGCACTCGCCGAGTCCGGTCAAGTTGACCGTTGACCGTTGACCAGAGTTGACCTATATGTGATTTCTTAGGGTCAGTTGTCTTGAAAGATAAAAGTGTTAATAAGGGATGTACGATATTATAGGGAGTCTGTAGCTCGGCGGATCGAGTACGAGTGATTTCAGGAGTTGCTAGCTTTCAGTATCCACGAGGTGAGTCTTCTCACTATACTGTACCTGGAAGGGTTTGACTGTGTGACCGAAAGCTCGGATATGATATGTGATATATGTGCTATATGTGGTAAGTTAATTGTTATGTGTACTGTGTATGTTTTTATGGGCCGGAAGGCAATATGTTGTGGGCCGGAAGGCAATATGTTGTGGGCGGGAAGGCAATATGTTATGGGCCGGAAGGCGATTATGTTATGGGCCGGAAGGCGTTGTGTTGTGGACCGGAAGGTCAGGGCCTGGAAAGGCGTATATGTGTAAGTTGTATACTGGGGAACTCACTAAGCATTTATGCTTACAGTTGTTATGTATATGTTTCAGGTACTAGCGAGGACCGTGGGAAGGCGCCGGCGTGATGCGTACACACTGATTGATGTTTTGAGATCTTGGGAATTCTATGATTTGTATTTCGACATAAAACTTGGAATAATTATATTTAGTTTGAATAAAAACACTTTATTTGAAATGAAAAAAAAATTGTTTGAAAATTTTGCGTTGTTACAATTGGTATCAGAGCCTTGGTTTGAGGGATTCGGGTGCACCTTCGGGTGTAACTGAACTCAAACCGAGGATTTGAGGAAAATTTTTAAAAATAAAGGCATAAACTTTTATAAATGATAGTGTGGTAAACAAGAAAGAAGCAGTGTGTACGATCAGTCAGCGCCCGAACGGTAAAGATCCCCAGAATACCTTACAATGTTATGTTATGAAATGAATTATGAATTGTTATGCATGCTAGAAGACTAGGTATTCATGATAGGACTAGAGTGGCCTGATTTGTGATGCCTTAGTCTAGGGAGTTTGTCGATATGAGATATTTGATAGCGTGCAGGTAGATAGTGCATATCAAAAGTAGAGTACTCACTATTCGGGGTTTGGGGAGGAAGATTTGGGACGAATGCTGATACGGTGTGGTCGGTAGTATTGGGCCCGTACTACCAAAGACACCGGGTCGGTGGGAGACCCAAGTAAGAATCCCTGGATATCGGAGACTGAGTAGGGTTGCGTTATCGAGTGCAATTGTACTTGATGGAGTCTCTGATAATTTTATGTTGTATTTCAGAGACATCATGGTTAGAACACGCCACGGGACGAGTTCGAGCGGTGTGAGCGACGAGGAGATTCGTCAGCTGATTCAGGAGGAGGTAGCTGTAGCGATCCGGGTTGAGATCCCGGAGATGTTTGGGTCTATTAAGACCACCCTGATGGAGACGTTTGAAGAGCAATACGCTGCACTGACTGAAGCTGCAGCCGCTGCCGCTACCGCAGCTGTGGCCGCTGCCAGGCCACAGGGGGGCGACTCGTTGCTATTTCGGGAATTCAGCAACACGAAACCCCCCTGAGTTCGATGGGACGCAGGATCCGATTGCTGCGATGAGGTGGATCGCCGATATTGAAGGGTGCTTCTACACTTGTTCATGCCCGGAGCACCTGAGGGTACGGTTCGCTTTGAACCAGCTCCGTCTGGGAGCGAAGGATTGGTGGAAGTTCGTGACGGCGAACTTCACTTTGGCGGAGATTACATCAGTGACATGGGAGAGGTTTACTACCATGTTCAGGGACGAGTACGTTCCCCCAGTGGAGAGGGAACGATTGGTTCAGGAGTTCTTAACCCTTAAGCAGGGTACTGATTCGGTTGCGGTGGTCACGCGCAAGTTTCATGAGAGGGCGATGTTCTGCCCCGAGCTGGTGTCTACAGAGCAGTCGCGGATGAGCCGGTACTTGGGTGTTTTGAGGAGGGATATCCGGGAGTTTGTGTCGAACTCCACCTATCATACTTTTGCTGAGCTTCAGGCGAATGCCAGGAAGCGCGAGATCGAGTTGGAGACCCAGGCCAGGGAGGAGGCCGAGTCTCAGCAGGTGGACCGGCGGCCGGCTCAGTCTCAGCCGGCAGCCAAGCGGACCAAGTCCGCCGATTCGAGGACGGGAGGTCCGAAGGGCCGCACTTGCGGAAAGTGCGGCAAGGGTCACGATGGGGCGTGTCGAGCTGGTGGTTGCTACAAGTGTGGCAAGGAGGGACACATCGCCAGGGATTGTCCTAAGGGGTTTATGGTTTGTTTTCATTGCAACCAGACAGGCCATCGGAAGGCCGAGTGCCCTCAGCTTCGTCAGGGATCTACACCTACTGCCAGGACTACTGAGACTCGACCGGCGAAGGTCGAGGCCCCGAGGGCTCACGGGAGAGCCTTTCAGCTGACTGCGGAGGAGGTCCGTGCTGCGCCCGATGTTGTGGCAGGTATGCTGTAATTCACGTATTTATTTAAAGTCGAAATGTTATGCTTATGTTATTATATGTGTAGGTACTTTTCTTGTGAACTCTGTGCCTGCTTTAGTGTTATTTGACTCGGGTGCGAGTAGGTCCTTTGTATCCTTAGCTTTTAGTCAGCATATCAGCATTAGTCGTGAGTCGTTAAGTCGGCCTTTGAGAGTTTCTATAGCGGCCGAGAGAGTGATTTGTGCCACGGAGGTTCTTCGGGGATGCGTGCTAGAGATTTTCGGGGTTGAGTTTCCAATTGATCTGATTCCTATTGCGATGGGGGATGTCTGTGTCATCGTGGGCATGGACTGGTTGAGCCGATTCAGCGCTGTCATCGACTGTGAGCGTCAGCTGGTGACTATACGAGACCCTAGTGGGGGAGTTCTTACGGTGTACGGCGAGGGTACCCGTTCGGGATCAGCTTTTTGTTCGGCCGCTAGGGCGAGGCAATGTCTACAGCAGGGATGTAAGGGTTTTGTGGCGTATGTGATGGATACGCGGGAGGCTTCCGAGAGACCGAGGTCAGTGGAGGAGGTCCCAGTGGTGCGTGAGTTTCCGGATGTTTTCCCCGAGGAGCTGCCGGGAGTACCTCCTGCGAGGCAAGTAGAGTTTGGTATCGATCTGATTCCGGGGGCCGCGCCTATTGCGAAGGTGCCTTATCGTCTCGCACCTCCAGAGATGCAAGAGTTGTCCTCGCAACTCCAGGAGTTGCTGGGGAAGGGATTCATTCGGCCGAGCAGCTCGCCGTGGGGAGCACCTATTCTGTTCGTCAAGAAGAAGGATGGTTCACACCGGATGTGCATTGATTACCGGGAGTTGAACAAAGTGACGGTCAAGAACCGTTACCCGTTACCGAGGATCGATGATTTATTCGATCAGTTGCAAGGGGCATCTTGGTTTTCTAAGATTGACCTGAGGTCAGGGTACCATCAGGTGAGAGTGCGGGATGAGGACGTCCAGAAGACAGCATTTAGGACGCGATATGGGCATTATGAGTTTGTGGTGATGCCTTTCGGGCTCACCAATGCCCCGGCGGTGTTCATGGACCTCATGAACAGGGTATGCAGGCCAATGTTGGATCGGTCAGTGATTGTATTTATCGACGACATCCTAGTGTATTCGAGATCTAGAGAGCAGCATGAGGAACATTTGCGGGAGGTCCTTGAGGTATTGAGGTCGGAGAAGCTCTATGCAAAGTTCTCCAAATGTGACTTTGGTTGCGGGAGGTCCAATTTCTTGGACATGTTGTTAATCAGAAGGGATATTGGTCGATCCGGCCAAGGTTGAGGCTGTGATGAGTTGGGAGGTGCCGAAGTCAC